TACGTAATTGAAATGAACATTATAGGACACACTATAAAAATAGTGTATGGTATATTAAAAAGAGTGTACAGGTAAAACTTGTCTTATTATGAAATAAAACGTCATGAAAAAATGCGCTACTCTTATTAGCGTTGTAGATATTTGAGGTTATAATTGCTTTTCAAGGTTTTATTTTAAAATGCCGGGAATTGAGGTCAAAGAAATTGAATTTCGGATTAAATAACAAAAAAAAATTAGAGTAATAAAATGAATTTAATAATTTTCAAAATATTTTTGACGTCAATTTGTAAATGTTATGACGCTGTACCCGAGCGTCAAAAATTCATAACCTTTACAAAATGAATGCAAATTAGATTCTCGGAAAGTATCATTTTTAAAACGAAACTCTATTAAATAAACGTTTTTATAGAATTACTTATGTCCGAATTTCATTATCACATCTAATATTAATATTAGAGACTTAGATTATGAGATTAAAGTAACTCAAAAACTTGATTAAAGTATTATCATATTAATTTAGTAGGTGTAACTATAAATTATTTCTTAAATATCTGCAAATTTATTTACTAAAAACTTCTATTATACGAGTACACTCCTTCATTTTAATGTTTTTAATTCAAGGTCGCCATTCAACAAAAATTTCATTAATAAAATTAATGTTAGCGTTAATTTACTTGTATTACCTAATCTATTGTAATTATAATTTTAGAGGCGTTAATATATAAAAAAAAGTAGAGCTGGAAAATAATACAATGAAGAGAAATTAAAAAAAAATCTTTATAAATCTAATTTTTCATATTTTTATTCTCTTTTTTTTTATAACTGACATTCTTTAAATTTTTTCTCTATTCTTTAATTTTATTATTTCATTTGTATTTCTTTTCTTTTTTTTTTTTTTGGTTAGAAACCAAAATTTTTCTTTTATTACATATTTAGAATAATTTGTTAACGCTCTTCTTTTTTCTACCTAATTTATTATTAAATATAATTTCTTTTTCTATATATGTATGTAGGCCCGTAAAACTGTCTAAATATTTAATCACATAAATAATAAAAAAATTTTTTTAGAAAGCAAAAATTATAGTTGGAGAAAAAAGAGAAAACTAGATTGTTCTTTTTATCTTTGCATAATATTTTTTTTATTATATTTTTTATTATTGTTATTGTTATTAAATTATAATATGTATTTAAATTGTGTTATTAAAAGAATAAATAAGAAAAATAACTTTGTTACAGTAAATTCTTAGCTAACAGAACATGTAGGGAGAAGAGAAAGTATAATTTTACTCTCATTGTGCATGATACAAATATAACTGTTATAATGAGCTCTTAATTAGTGTTTGTGAATTCATATTTCTGAATTACGTTCTTTTTGTAGCCTAATTTTGTATCGTTGTCTTTCCGTCACCTATTTTAGTCACTTTCAAATCGAAATTCTCTGTTTTTCAATTGGACTTTTCATTTCTTCTCAATATGTCATATAACAGTTTTTAAAAAAAATCGAAATTTATTGAAAATTATTATAGAGCAAATATATTTTTATGCAAAAAACGAGATATTCAATACAGAAAACATTCTTATTAATTGAAATTTATATCTACAATATATGCACTTATGTGGAATAACTGTTATACTATTATACGTTAAACCTACCGAATTTTTATATGTATGAGTATCTATTCCAAACTCATTTCCTTTTACTCAATCCCGAACAACAAGTTTAAATTTAAAATGATATCCTCATAATTTAATACGATTTTACTGTATAATTTATTGTATTAAAAAAATATAATAGTATAACATTAAAATATATATTATTATTATTATGTACATATATTTATGTAATGTGTACATGTATGTACGAAAAAATATTTTTTAGAATTATTAAGTAAAAGTATAAAATATAACATACAAATATATTTTTAAGTAAATAACATGTGGTATTTAGGTATATATGAAATTAACGTTAGTATGATATAATATCAAGGTGTGTGTACATCATGTGAATGAGGTAATAATAAGATTTTTGTACGAAAAATATATATGTATATCTTTTTTATATTTATTCACCTGTTCTTACATAAAATAGAATTTCTGAAATTAAGTTATTAATAAAAAAAACTTCCTATTAATAAGTTCCAAACGGAACTTGCAAGACCTGTCAGGTCCTAAACCCAGTTTACTTAGTTGTTTCTTAAGTCTGCAGTGCTACGTTAGAAAATCCATGACAATTTTCACATGATTCCTCGGCATCTTTGTAACTAGCTTTAAAGTGCTCTCGATTGTAGTTGCCCAAACGCTCTTTTGCTTGCGGCACTAAGTATACTATGTTAATAAAACGGTTCTTCTTCATCCTGTTAAATAATTTTAGTTTATTCTTAAATTATATACTACAGAATTTATTAATTTTTTAATTATTCTATGTACAGAAAATGCAATATACAACAGAACTCTGTGATTAGACTGCAGAAATTTGTTTAAAAACCAATGAGCATTTTAAAAATAACTGTGCATACATAAAAAGAAATTTAATTCGTTAGAATATTTAAAATTGTCTTCTACTATAAAAAGATCAAGATTTTCTATTCACTTATGTATGTAGGTACAACAAGAAAAATAGAAAAGCTTGAAAATTGCAAAATATTACAATTCTTCCATAATTTTTACTTACTTATATCTTTTTTACTTATTTAAATATTTATATATTTTATTTTTTTTAACAATATTAAATTCACAATATATTCACATATGTACATATCCCTAAGTACATAAATATATTTATAATTTCCAATGTAGTTAACAGACGTTAGACAATAATATAATTTAAATGAATAACAGCTATGAATTTGACTTTGACTTTTATTTTAAAAAAGAGCATGGCGAAAATTATATGATAATTTATAACAACTATTCACATTAAGAAAAGAAATGAAAGGCAAAAAAATAAAATAAAATACAAAATATGTTTGTCATTGTCATTCAAAAGTCATTCAAAAGTTTCAAATTTGTACGTAACGCGTAATGTTATTCATACGAACTACTGTATACGAACTGTCAAAAAGGAACGTATGTTCGAGAATATAAAAGCGAAATGATCTAATTTTGTTTTAATCTGTGCAAAATATTTAGTACACTATTATTAGTGCGTGAACATACCAGTATATTTTATACTAGATTATTTTTTCAGTAATTGACTCATAACAATTACATGAATAGGTAAACTTATGATCGTCATAAAGAAATTATAGCAATTGATTCGGAGTAGACTGGTAAGACTGTGCCATTCGAACATTATCACTCCTAAGTTTCAGTATTTCATTTATCATCCGCTTGTTAGGATTTAAGAGTCTAGTCTAGACTGTTCCAATTCATTTGTTTCTTCTAATCAAATATTTCTTGATATTATGAAAGAAAAAACAAATTTGAAGTTGCAATTTTTGGATATGAAAAATTAATTTTTTTTTTTTTTTTGTTTTTGTATACGGATATTAACTATGAAGACAACAATATAACTATGAAGTCTGAATATAAAAAAAGCTTTGTTCAATTATGTGAAATTGTATTATTTATTATTTTGTTGTTTCTTGTATTTAATTCCAGAGTGAGACTAGGAAATAGCACCCAATAGTAGAGAAAAAAATTTTTTTGTATTTATATTTCACACAATATTGTTATATGAACTTGTACTTGAAATTTTATGTTTGCATAATGTATACAAGTATGTACGAATATATATACATGTATATGGAAATGTATAACATATTATATGAATTAGCGGAAACATAGTATGTATGCGAGTATGTATGTGTTACAGAACAATAAAATGTAGACGGATAATAACTCTTTTTTTTTATTATTTTATTTTATAAGAGAGTTATACTTTTAAGGGGTCCCATTTTTCATGTCTTAAAACTAAGAATATTGTTTTATGCACACTCTAAATACTCTATTTCTATTCTATAATTTTACTTAGAAAATTCTATACATAGAATAATCTATTTCATTATGATTATGGTTTGCGTTATATAGTTTAAGCTATTATGATTATTTTAATGGAATTTTCTGAGAAGAATAGTTGCAAAAATACAGAAATTACATGTTTATATAGTTATAGAAGTAAAAATAAACTTGAAAGAAGTGAGAATTTCAGTACGTTGTTCTGGACTTTTTTTCTCTTTTTTCATATTTTAATTTTTTTTTCTTACTAAGTTGCATTTTGTAAAAATATATTATTGCATTCCAATGTTATGACACTGAAAACATGTGTGTATTTTTAATATACATACATACTTACTTTGAATAACAAAATAATTGCTGTCAAGGCATTATAATATTTTGGATTTTATTTAAATGCTCGTTTAATGAATGTAAGCCAAATTTAAAAGAATATACGATTAATTTGAAATTTTTGACATAATTTTGATATTTTTGACATTATTGTCAAATATTAATAATTTTTGACATAATCGAAAAGATTCTATATTTAAATATGAGGCGCACAACACATTACTGGTCTATCCAACATATTTACAAAAACGAGTTATTATGTTCAATAGAGCTATAATGGCTTAAAGAATTTTTCTATATTTTCATAATACTTAATTTACTTCTCTTTTCACTTCTGTTTTGACATAAGTTCGTTTTTGCCTTTTAAAACTTTTCTTAAAAATTAAATATTTCAATCACAATTTACTCGAAATGTAATTTTTTCAAGTAGCTCACTAACGTACTGTCGGCGCCTTATATATTATCCAATTCAAAAATTTGCCACTATTAATAGTCACCATTTGCCACTATTAAATTAATTAAATAAAATTATAATAGTAACTCCGATTTCTAAATTATATATAAATATATGTACATATGTGTGTATGTATATGTACAATTGTATACCAAAATTGTTATATTATAAAAAAATGATTATAAATTCTTGTTATAAAATTTAAAGCACTCACTAATTAATTATATTTTCACACTTTTTATTTTCTATTTTTTTTTAGATTAACTCAAAATATAGCGAAGAATTGGCACAAGAAAGTTTAGAATGGATCAAAGAACTAACAGGTGAACCAATTAATACTTCCGGTGATATGGATAATTTCTTTGAAGTTCTTAAAGATGGTGTACTTTTATGTAAATTGGCAAACTGTATTCAACCTGGTTCAGTTAAAAAAATTAATGAAAGTAAAATGGCTTTTAAATGTATGGAAAATATTTCTGGTAGGTGGCGTTATTAAACTATTTTTATAGTTAATATTATGTCATACGCATATAATGTTTATATGACATAATGTCATTACTATAAATTTTTATAAGTTGAATTATAAAAGTTCCAATTTAATTAATTAATAACCATATATTAATTTTTTATTTTATTTTTTGAATATTTACAGCATTTTTAGAATGTGCCAAAAAATTCGGTGTACCAGTACAAGAAACATTCCAAAGTGTTGATCTCTGGGAACGTCAAAATCTTAATTCTGTTGTTATATGTGTCCAATCTCTTGGCAGAAAGGTAATAATTATTTTTTAATTTTAAAATTATATCTTATTATTTGAAAATGTGAATATGAAAAAAAATTAAAATAATTTGAATTATTTTTAGGCTCATAATTTCGGTAAACCATCAATTGGACCAAAAGAGGCTGATAAAAATGTTCGTCAATTTAGTGAAGAACAATTACGTGCCGGTCAAAATATCATCTCTTTACAATATGGCTCAAATAAAGGAGCTAATCAAAGTGGTATTAATTTCGGTAATACAAGACATATGTAAAATATATGTTTTTAAAAAAAATTTATAAGAAAAAAAAAAACAAATTCGAAAAAAATATATAAAAAGAATTATTTAAATCACCTTTAAAATGAAATAAAGCAAAAAACAAAAAAATTTAAAGAAATTCTAACATAATTATATTAAATGTAAAGTTGCAAATTGAATTTTTTAATAATTTTGAAAAAAAAAATCATTTATTTTAAAAAAATTTTTCTCTAAACTTGCAAAAGATTCATAAGTATAACTTTAAATTTGTACTTATTATTAAAAAAAAAGTATAATTAATTTTTTAAATTTATTTTTGTAAGAAAATCCAAATTATAAATTTTATTTTTTAATTTAAACATTCCCGTAAAGACATTCAAAAGCTATTTTTTTTTTATTTAAATTTATTTTTTTTTTTTTCTAAATGTATGTAATTTAATAATTTTAAGAGAATACAAAAAATATTGTATATTTTTTGATAAACAAAAATAATATTAGAAAATTTTATAACTATCATGCGATTAATTAATTTTTTGAATTTAATATTTAAAATTTATAATACTAAAAATAGTTGGCACTTTATTTAATGAATTTATATAAGTAGCTTAAAATAAATTTTTCTAAATTAATATGAAAATATTTCGTTAAATTTATTTTTAATTTTTTTTTTAAGTTATTTTATTTAACATAAAATAAAATTACAGAACAAAATTTATGCCAAACTTTCTGAAATTAAAATATTTATATTGCAATTTTAATTAATTTTGAATTTCGATTGAAATATATAAGAATTTTTTAATAAAATTTATAGATTTCAAATTTTTCTGTAGATGGAAGATGATATTCATGTTGTTCATGTTGTAAATTAAAATATAATTAAACTATTTTTTTTTATAATTTAATTTCTTTTAATATTATAATTATTTTAAGCTACTTATATAATATTTATTTCATTAACTTACACTTAATATAACAATTTAAAATTTTACTTTTAAAATTAAATTAATCAATTAAACAACATTATTCAAAAATAAAAAATAAAATAAATAATAATTTTTAGTGCCATTTTGCATTTAACAAACAAAAAAAAAAATTAATTAATTTACAAACTAAAAAACAAGAAAGAATATATAAAAAAAAAATACTTTTTATAAACTATACATTTATTATATTTAAAACAAGAAAAAAAAAACAAAACAAAGAAAAACAAAATTATAAAACACAGGGTTTTAAAAAAACAATGTTCATAATTTTTTCTGGGATCATTTTTAATAATAATAATAATTAAAATATAAAAATTTATATTTCATTTTTGAAAATTTTTTTTTCTAACCTACATATTTTTCTTATACACAACAAAAAATTCTAAATCCTAATGTTGTTCTTCGTTTTTTTTTTAATAAATAAAACTGTGTACTAAATCAAAAATATTTTCAATAAAAATATTTATAATATTATTATTGTTATTTATAAATAAATAAAATATATATATTTATAAAATAAAAATGAAAATTTACATACGTTATGTAATCATTAATTACATATATATTTTTTTAATAGAAAATGTTGTAAACATTAAAAAATTTTCTTCCAAAAAAATTGGAAAAAAAAAATAACAAAAATATTTTTTAAAAATTATTTAACAAATGAAATGAAAATTTTTCTTTTTTCCAATGTTACCTAAAATCAAATTAAAATCTAATCTAAATAAAGAAAAGAATAATTGCCTTAAAACTGTTATTAAATAAATAACAAAAAAAAAAATACAATGAAAATTTAAAAGAAAAACAATTTATTTTTAAAAATAAAATATTAAAATATTTTTTAAAAAAATTTAAGAACTAATAAAATGACTCTATGAAATATTTTTTTTTTTGTGTCTTTAGATCTTATATAATATTATAAATAATATATATATATACTACTGTTAATAAGAAATGTTGAATGAAGTAATTAATAAATAAAAAAATTAAATTGAAAATAAAAAATGGAAAAAACAAATAAAAAAAAGAAATGAGAAAAAACTTATATTTATAAGGTAATTTAAAATTCATGTTTTATTTTAGAAGAATGAGTGTTTTTTTTTAATAAAATTAATTCAATTAATTTTATTTTAAATAAGATTTTGAAAGATTAATGTTTTGTGAATTAATGTATTGAAGTATAAAACGTACTTACAAATTCAGATTACGTTCTTACATTCTTACAATTTCTTCTGAACAGAACATTAGGCTTGATTTTTGTTCATTACTTTTAAATGTTTGTCTACTTATCGTACATGTCTTTAACATTAAATAGAAAAATATGAACAGGAATTTTTTTGTCATAATTCAGGCATGCACTGGACTCTTTAAAATAAGTTATAAAAGTATTTTTGCACAAGCTTACAAATCTCTAAAAACTGAATATTTTACTTTTACAGATTTGTAATAAATAAAGTCTTTAATGTCCAACGTTTTTCTATTATGTTCCTCTTCTAATTTCTTCAATCCTCACTTTCGAAAATGCTATTTTTGCTGATTTTGCAGTTTGTATTTTTTTAACGTTTTTTATATTAAGATCCTAATTTTGAAATGAATAATCGCAAATCCCCATTATTTTATAGCTCAATTCAATATCTGTAGGATGCGGTTTTTATATACATAATAACTGGAGTAAAGAATCAATTTAAATAAAATTTTTTTTGAAGATAATTTAATTCGATTTATTTCTAATAGATGTCGCACAAATTTCAATTTTCGGAATGGTATAATTTTTCTATGACGCAAACCTTTTGTAATTATTTTAATCTGTTTCTAAATATGTAAGTAAAAATTATGATAATTAACGACACAAACCTTTAGAGAACAGTTTCGAAAAACAAAAATATATGTACGTATGGATATACATATATATATATTATATAAAGTTATAAACAAAATTATGTATAAATTCAGGACAAAATATTTATTTTAAGGATAAAACACATAAAATAAATAAAAAGAAGCGATATTTTGGGGGTTCTTTAAAAATATTTAAAATTTGGAAAACAATTAAAAAATAATGATATGTAGTTAGGTTTCTTACCATACTTAGTATTAAAGGAAAACTATTCATAAATCTCAATCATCGAGTTTTAAATATGCTTGGCTGTCCTTAAACTTTTAAACATTTAAAAAAGCAAAATAATCAATTCAATTATATAAACAAAATTTATTTATTTTTGATAAATTAATTTTTATTTCTATAATAAAATATAATAATTAATTAATAATTATTTATATATAAAAAAAGAACAAAAAATAATAGTGAATTTAATATTTTATTAAAAATATCGGACATTATACAACGGAAGTGCTTTTTTTATATTATATTTAATAATTTGATTCTCAAGCAAAATGATCCAATTTCATAATTCATATGTATAAGTTTTTTATATTTTTCGTAATAATTATTGGATCAATTTGCTTTTTATTCTTCTTTATATTTTAATATTCAAATTAAGGGTTTTTTTTAACATTCTTATACTTATTATAAAAAATCATTTTTCCGTATTTGTTTAATATTCGTTTTTTGTTATTAATTAAAGTTGTTGAATTTTATATTTTTATTATTGTACATAATAAGAGAAAGAGGTCTATTTTATAATACAGAAGTTCTTAATATTGCAATTATATACGTACTATTATTAATTATAAAATAAAATTAAAATTAATTGTATATTCATATTATAAATTTGTAAGTTTTTTAAGTTATATATTTAAAATTGAGCTTTTAATTTTATCATTTTATTATTTGTTTCAATTCCAATTCAATTTCGTGCTCCCACAGTCAATTTTATATTCTTTATAGAAGTAGTTCATACTATTGCTTCTTTTACTTAAATACGAAAAAATTTCTTAATTGGGCGATTATTTATTAGTCGTCCCATATTTACAGATTTATTTTCCATTATACAAACGAATCAGGTAACTTATAACCAAATTAATTAGAAATATTAAAAAATTAATCTTATACATATTATGAAATTTCATTTATGATAACATTGATAAGTTTGTCTATTTAAAGTTCCGACATTTCTGACTTATTGCAATTTGATTAAGGTAGAATTATAGTAGAATCAGTTTGTTTTTTTTATGAATCCTTTCCACTAAATTATTATCCAGAGTAAAAAATTCGAAGCGTCAAAAAATTGAAATTAATATTATTCTTAAATTTAAATGAAAAATTATAATAAATTTTTTGTAAGTTAATTTTTAAATTCAGTATAAAAAATATTTTTAAAGGCTAAAGAAAATCCGTTTCCGCTTGTCGACGAACGATATCATATGAATGCAATCAACATTTTCCTCGCACATTTTCAACAGTTTCCTTTTTTTTTTAATTGAAATTGTAAATAAATAATCCGAGCCTCTTTAATTAATTCTCTTACTTTTCAACTTAAGTTTAATCTTCCAATTTATAATTGATTGATATTGTTTGTATGTATTTATGTATATATTTGTTTTTAGATGTTTGTATATAAAATTTGTTGTATTTTCTTGTTGTTTATTTGGCTTTCTGAAGTTAATTTTTTTTTTGTTTGTCGCGTTTTTAGTAATTAACAATAATTTTGTTTTCATTTAATTTAAATAATTTTTCTTTTTGTTCGATTTTATATTCAAGTATTTGTAATTGCTGCATTTATTTCTTTTTCTATTGATTCAACAGCTGATGATAAATTCTTTTTTGAATTTTCTTTAATATCAGTGATTTCATTTTCAATTGTATTAAATGTTTTTGTACCCATTACATTAAATTTATCTTTAATATCATCTAATTCATTTTCAATATTATGAATTGCATTCGAGCCCATTTTATTTAATTTCTCTTTACCATCATTTAATTCATCATCAATTTTATTAATTGTACTCGATGTCATCTTATTTAATTTCTCTTTATTTTCATCAAATTCATTTTCAATATTTGTTATTGTATTTTTACCCATTAAGTGTAATTTTTCTAATTCAGATAATGTTGGTACTGGTGTTGGTGGATTATTATTTTCTTTATCATTTGATAAAATTTTTTCAATTTCTGGATCTGGTGATGATGTTTTAAGGCTATCAATCGATTGCATATCTGTATTATCACTATTTGTTATAATATTTTCAATATTATCAATATTTTCTTTAACATTATCTATACCACTATCAATTTCATTTTTTGTATCTTTAATTAAATTTTTCATTAAATTCTCTGAATTATCTTTAATTTCAGCTGTTGTTTCATCAAATGTACTTGCGATTTCATCTAATGTTTCATCAACCAATTTTTCATTTGGATCTTTTAATGGTATTATTTTAAAATCGGTTGATTCTTTTGGTTCCTCTTTTGTAGTTAAATTTTCAGTAATTTTATCAATTTTTTCTTCAACTTTATTTTCAGTATCTTTAATTTCTTTTTTAGTACCATGAAAAGCATTTTCAATTTCATGTCCAACATTTTGTGCAGCACCAACAATAGCTTCTTTTACATGATTTGCTTTTTCACCAATTGTGTCTTTTATTTCTAAAATGAAAAAAAAAACAAAATTTAAAAAAATTTATTAGACATTGTCATGTTTATATTAAGAATTATTGTTATAGTTTTTTTTTTGAAGAAAAACGCATATTATACAATATATTGTGCACATATACAAGATGTTTCCGTTTTAAGTATATTCCTGTATATAGGTGCATCATTGCGACGACGGAGTTCCAGTCTCACAAGGTCTTCGAATTTATTAGGGTATCGGATCTCATACGGATGCTGTAGGGACTTGTCCCGCACTCAGCACTCCAGCCATAATAGATTCTCATGATAGAGTGATATCATTTCATGGCTTTCTATAATCTTGTGAGAAATCAGAAATTCATATGCATATATTGGGCTTACACAAAATTTATGAATACTGTCCCCAGGATCGCTGATACAATAATATTTGAAATAATTGGAAGTGCACTTAAAACGGAAATATCCTGTATGGAAAGAATTCAATTTTACTCTTCTAAAAAAAAAGCCAAAAAATAATAAATATTTCGTTTGCAAAAAAGACCATAAACAACTCAAAATTTTTTATTTTTGTTTGCAAATGATGAATTATTGAAAAGTATACAAAAAAAAAGGAGAAAATATTTTGAAATTGTAAAAATATATTAAAAAAGTTCTCTGTACCGCAGCTAAAATTTGTGAAATATTAATCTAGTATAGTTGAAACATAGTTCAAATTTGGTTTTTGCTTTAACCACAACACATACATTATTTGAATGCTGAAGGGAAAATGAATAGAAATTCAATTTCCTATGAATGCATAATATTATGAAGTTAAATTTTTTTATTCTTGAATTACAATAACACTCAAAAACAGAGTTTGCCCTACTTTGTTAAATTATTTATCGCAGATGCAAAAATAACAAAATTACATTGATTGTATTCTTCACAGTTCCTAAAATAATAATTAAAATTAATGCTTTAACTGAAATGAAAAAATAACTTATGAAATACTTATGGTTCTCTTGGAAGATATTAATCATTAACATTCCATGTCTGTGCTGATTATATACACATAGTAACCTCTGGATCTCTAGTGTTACACACAAAATTAGTATATTCAATATTGAAGTGACTTCTCTGGCAATATATCGTTAGTCATTTACGATTTTGTTCTATTTGTTCAGAAACCTGGATCTTTAATAATTGGTTAGGGTACCACACACTATAGACTGTTTCTTAGTCTGCCTGTATGTTTTGCAATTCTTATTTACTAATTGTATTTCTTGTTATTGTAAATTTGTTACAAAATTATAAATATTAAAATTAAAACATAATTTATGATATAATATATGAATATCGACAGCCCCCAATTACGTTTTACTCCTTCTATTCTGAAATTCAAGGGCAATTCATTTTGTCCTCTTTTCTTATTTTGTTTTTAAAATAAAAAAAACTCAGATAATAATTATTGCCAAGAAAAAATTTCACTTTTGTCCTAAATTTTTATGAAATAAATTCTAAGAATGAAAAATCACTGAATACTTTAATGTGAAACACGAAAAAAAAAACAAAAATTCACAAAAAAATAAATTGGAATTTCAAGTGTGCTGCCGCCTATTTGCGTGTCTTTAAACAAAAGAAAAAATCAACAAGAACGAAAGTTTTAAAGTCAAATTTTATTTTTATTTTTTTTTTACCCAAAAAAATTCAACAAGTGCTAAGAATTTGGTTTTATTATTTATTTTGTAATTTATTTTATATTTAATATTTGAATTTTTTGTGTATTTCTTATATTTGCAAATAAAATATTTAAGTTTAATCGTTCTCGTCTTATTTGTTGTGCCTGTGAGAATATAAAAAATTTTTATAACTGGCATAAAATGGCATACTTGTATACTAATTATACACTAACTTGTCTTACATTAAGATTATAATTTGTAAAACCACGAAAGCTATATTAAAATAAAAATTAAAATAAACTAATGAGAAAACGAAAAATGGTTATTTCAAAATGATTTTCTCAAACGCTCAACGCAAGATTTGTCATAGAATTGAAGCCTAGAATTAAACTTTCAAATTTTTGTTTTGCAATGTTTGTATATAGGAAAATGTTATCAATTTAATTTCGCTGTGAATTGAAAGCAAATTTTTTTTTGGAAAAAATTATGAAAAAATTCTGGCGCTTTTTGCAAATTTGATCCGCCTCTGCCTTGTTTAATATATGAATTTTTATACATACATAAATATAGTTAATTAAGCGCAATAAACACAAATTAGCAAAGAAAAATTGAAGTACGTATACGGGTATATATAAAATACACCATCACGTGGAATTCTAGTAAGTTAGGGAAAAAAATTTAGATGCGGTCTCTACTTGACCTAATAAAAAATATTTTCAAAATATTATTTTTCTTGGAAATTTTTTTTATTTATGTAATTACAACCAAATATATTTTTTGTTTAAATTTTTATGAAAATTTAAGGTTATATATTATAGTGGAATTGAACCATCGCAATATATAAATTTTTCTCTTCATAATTTATTTTTTAAGAGCTTTTATTTTGGAAATTAAATAAAATTTCAATTTATGCTTAGATAAAGCGAGTAAAATTTTCAAAATTAACAATAATTAAAAAGTTAATTAACAATAAAGTATACTTAATGCCGGTCAGAATATATGCGATTTTAATTTTTAATAGCTCATATTCAGTTTTTAAAACTGTTTATAAATCGGTGACTGTAAGAGTTCTACTCTAAAAATATTAGGAATTTTTAAGAACCTAAACAAAATTGTGTTGGAAACGCCAAATGAAACATGAATATTAAACCAATATCAAGTAGTAATTTAGATTTTAAACCAAAAAATGTTTCAAATCAAGTATATATCGTTGATTGCGGCAACATTTGTATTGCTTTATCGTAAAATAATTTTTAGAACACTCCTACTGTAAGTTAAAAAAAAAAGAACTGCCCTGTGTATAACTGTGGTATTCATTTGGTATGAAAATTTTGGTATATTTTTAAAATATAAACTCCCTTATTAATTTTTTTAATTTTTACACTCATAACCCCTGGTTTCATTACTCCTATTGTATTGTAATGAACACTCAACTCCAATTTTCCAATATTTAATATATATACGTGCAGTAAATAAATTTAGGGCAAAATGGCGATATGAATATAAAATTCTTATCTTAAATAGAAAATCTTTATAGGAAAATTTAGGTCAAGCTTAACAAATTACGTCTGAGTTGTAACAAAAGCAAAAAAAAAAAAAATCATTTAAATAACATTTTTTTTTTACCCTTGATATTCACAATATAATCACACTATGTATTACTTTTTGATTTATTTCGTGTTTCTTTTAAACTAAAGTTTAAGTAATTTAATATTTTGATTAATACACGAATTTCACGAAATCCGTATATATATAAAATGTGCATAAATAACATGCTTTTCCTTCATACATAAAATATTAGAGTAAAGTGTAAAATGTTAGAGTAGATTGTAAAAAAAAAAAAATACATTAATTTAAATATCATTTTAAAAGTACTTAATCACGAAATCTGAACAAAATTTTTAAAAACTTAAAGCCAATTAACACTACATGGTTGTAATGAATATTTTCTCTTTTTATATATAATAATTATGAATATTAATTATATAATTTTCTAAATATTATTTTAATTAAATACATATGAACAAAGTTCCTTCTGTTCTTTATAAAAGTTAAAATGAACATTTAATCGAATTAACAAATTATATATAGCATCTAATAACTAAAATTTACATCAAAGTCAACTGGTATACATTTTAAATACTGTAATTATTAATACTTCTTGGAAAATGTACATTTTGGAATGAAAGTATTTATTTTTACTATATAACGATTTTTTTTAAAAAATGCATACTTTTAGGGGAGAGAAAATTTTTTGTTATAACAATTAAGTAAAAGGATTAATTATTGTAAAATGCTATAATTCTTAAAACTATTTTAATATTAATAAAAAAATTTTGTGATATTATTTATGAATTTAAAAGAAATAGTACAATCGCGTTTATCTAAAACTTAATTACAAAATTTTTTCTTTTCAAAATATCCATTATATTTTCAAGGATTTGTTACGAATTTTTCTTTAACATATATATATATATATGTATTACTTAATTGATTATGATTAAGAAAACTCAATTGTTTCTTTAAACTGACCGAAAATATTTAAATGTGACCTAGACTTAATTTCAAATTTAATTTCCTTCTTCGCATTTGTTATTGGCATACAATATTTACGGAATTACAAGAATAATTTTTGTAATTTAGAATAATTTAAAAAAAAATTTTTTTAAATGGTCTTAATGCTTATTAAAAGTACCAGTACTTAATTTAAATAACTTTAGAATTGTTAAATTGTCAAAAGCAATTATTTTAATAATAAAAATTCCGTTTGCATAAAGAGTATATCTAGATTATTCGTTTTGACTTTGAAGCGTAATACATTTTTTTGTTGAAAATTGTGATACATTTTGTCTTATTATATGATTTGGTGCTCTGCTTGAGGAGAAATCGAATCTTGGCTGCTAGGTAACTGACGAATGTCATCATGGGAGACATTTTGTTCAACAAAGTTTTCTTCACAGCTGCTGGAAATGGATCGGGTTCATGAGTAGAGTTTCTTTGCCCATTATTTTTTTCAGTTATCTACAATGTATTATACATTTGTCATATAAATTATGCCTTAAAAGTGTAATAGGTCCAATTTCAACTTAATGTGCCAATTTCTTAATTGTTAACAATTAGCATTATTATACTTTTAAAGAGTGTTAGACGGCGGTTTTTCTGGACTCCGTTACAAGTTACTCTACAATTTTTACTTTATTTAAAATTTCATATACCTAAAATTGATTTTATATAATTTTAGAATTTAGTATGAAGAAATCAATTAATTAATCAATAATTATATATAATATTAAAACAAAGAGTAATATTTGAGGAATATTTTTACAAAATCTTACTAAGGGCTAATTTTAAAATTAT